ACAAATTGAAGGTAAATATTTCAGTAAAATTTTCTAAATATTTCATTTCTTTAATTAATCGTCCTCTAGAAATCATTTTAACAACGCCTCTTAATTTTAAACGATTCATTTAATTCTTCCTTAAATAAATTCTTCTACTTTTTAAGTAACATTTTGCATAAATTCTTCTATCTCTTGATTAACATTTTATTCCTTAAACAAATTCTACCATTTCTTGAGAAACATTTTATTCCTTAAATAACATTTCAGTCTTTAAATAAATCCTTCCATTTCTTAAGAAACATTTTAAATAAATTGAACCTTTCTTTAAAAAAAAACATTTTAAATAAATTCTTCTGTTTCTTCAATAACATTTTATATTCCTGAAATAAATTCGTCTCCGCAGTAGAGAATTTTTGCTTATTCTGACTCGCACGAATGTTCAACAAGTTCGCTAAATATTTCCTAATGATATTACGTTTGATTTATTCGCAATAGATTAGTGTACAGTGTCGCGTCGTTCTACGAATACTTGTATCGGCATAAAACGACCTCGTCGTTCGACTTTGGTTCTATTTTGCACAAACACCGGCTCGTGTTTCGCGCATTCAGAATTTCTTGATTGCGCGCAAATACGGTCCGATCCGCCGGGGTTCACCTGGAGAAGGTTCACGTGGCCCGACTGGCCTCGCGCGTGTTCTTCAGTCCGAGTGACGGTGATATTCAAGGATTCGCCATGTTTTTATAGCCTTTCCACGATTCCTATCCAATCGCCGTTTTTTCTTGCTTGGCACGCTGCTTTAACCTTGTGCACTTAATTGCTCGATTTTTATCCCTTATTTCAGACTAGCCAAAAGAAACAACGTTGAAAATAATAACCAACGAAAAGATTTCGCTTTATGAACTCTTCACAACAATTTCCTTGGAACGAACAGCTGCAAACCAGCTCGAAACATAAAATGTCACTTGGCAATGATTTCAAATAATTGTAAAATAAAGTAACGCGTTATTCGAAGCAATATTTCGCATAACGCTATTTCAGAAGGGATCGCAGGCACGAGAAGAACAATGGTATAAAATAGCACGTTATTCGAAACGATATGAGCCGTTTATTTTGAAAGTGGCATAAGTCACTTTACCGTAATGAAAAGTGGTGATTTTTTAATGTTCATACGAAATTATTTATACTGAGAAAAATATCAGTATCCTGAGATAACAAATACAAGTAAATCTTCTCGAAAGTTAGCATCCATATTTTTAAACGTGTTAAAACGCAAACCCTTAAATACATCGACTTAACAACAAAGTGACTTATGCCACTTTCAAAATAAACGGCTCATATTTCAAACAACGGGATCTCTAATGTGCCCAGGTCTGGTATCACATTGCACAGGACAACGTCACTGTGTGAACTTTCAGAACTCTGGATCGATGGTGACGTCGATCTTTTCTCTCGCCCTTCTCCCCCGAGCCGAGCGATCGATTTTGTTTGTTTGCGCGAGCCCAGGGGAAAAACGAAGCCGGCCTCCTCTCGCTTCCTCATTCTTGCCGGTGTCCAGTTCCGATGACCCGATGCGGTGTCTACGGAAAAAAAAGAGACCGTAGGTGGCGTCGCGACGCTCTCCGCATCGACTTCATTCGACGCGGGACGCTTCCTCGTGTCGCGCACCGCCCGTCGCAAACCAGACACCGGCGCGTTTGGTTCGTTCTCGTTTCACGTTTCGCAACGATGCGTTCTCCCAATTGTCAGCCCGCTATGATAACAGTACCGTGAACCAAAAGCCGATCAGGTAACGCCGCGCCTCGAGGACGATCGCAACGTCGAACCGCACACCACCGGCGGGATCGCAGATCGCTCGGACGCACGATGCACACACGGTTTTCTTCACCGGTTTCCTATGCACCTCGCTTCGCCAGCACTGCAACGATTTTTTTACATTCATATGCACCCGTTACGTATCGATTTCATATTTTATTAAACGGCCGCCGCGTAAAGCCCCGCCGCGTAACGCTGAATATGCGAGTGCAGATTTCTAAACGATCTGCCGGATCGTCGCGCGGCCAGTGTTAATTTCATCAGAGTTTCGGATGGTGAAATTGAGGAAATTAGTGTCTAGATGTTCATGTACAGCTAGGATGACATTGTCGAATGGTATTCACTTTGTTGATCTAGTGCATGTGGTCGTCAAATGGCCGTCGTTACATTCAGATGCACCCAGCATTGTACGAGATCGTTCAATTCAAAAATTAAAATGAATGATTAATATTAGGGGAACCGGAAAGTTATGTCGTTTGTTTATATTAAATTCAAACAGATAAATTTTTAACTAGTTTTTATTTTCCATCAATGATGTAATCACCCTCATTATCAACAACCTTTTTTCAATTAGTATGCAAATTTTTAGTATGTAAAAATTAGTATGCAAAAAAGAAGGAATACTGACATGTGCAGAAACGACATTACTTTCCGGTCCCCCTAATAGGAATGAATGAATGGACGTATAATCTTCAGTACTCGAAAGATTTCTTATTTGCTATTTTTGGAAGATGAAATACAAAAATTACAAGTATTAGCTTTTTGTATTACGTCTTGCAAATTGTAGAAAATTAGGAGAAATATACTAACGACTATACTAATTACTGTGTTCATTGTATTTCGTCTTCTACGAATTTTAAAGGAAATTCGTGATTTTTAGAGGACGATGCGATATTCGACCTTGCAGAAATTTTGTATATTTAAATCGTATGAATTGATGTGCTGGAAACTTTTGAAATAATTGAAAGGAATTTTGCAGGAGTAAAACGAAAAATGTAATGTACTAAAGTTGATAGCGAATCGCTGGTTATTGACGTAGGAATTAAGTTGAAAATGTGTATAGTCCCGCTTTGTTGGCAATCGTATCTATCAACCTTTATAGCCCCTTTATTTCCCCTTTGATTCTCCTTGACTTCCTTTCGTAAACACACTTTCCTGTTTGCGTTTACATAGTATTTAACATTTTCATTGCGATCTTTACTGTATGAATCGTCGATTTATTGTCGCGCTCGGCTATTGTTCCACTTCAAATAACGATCCATAAACATTCGAAAGAAAATAATGATAGTATAATTTTACGCGCTGATGCTATCTCGTCATTAGCTTGTTCTCTCTTGATAAAGATAATCGTGGAGTAAATTAGAGCGTGACGTGCAGAAAAACGGCACTGTTTTTGCAATGTTGTACTAATCGATAACTATCGGTTGCTATTGTATTCCACGTCAATTAAGACTAAGTTTCCAAATACCGAACGTTCTCCACTCGAAGTTTTATCAACCTCAGAGTAATAAATAATTCAATGAAACGCTGGAAAAGTTCCATAAAACTTGCTATCTTTTGAAGTATCGCGAGCTATCAAATATTTACACATGAATCAAACAAATAAATGTACAATAGCCGTACTTCTACTTAATCGTTCACCGAACTTTCAGAGTCGATATTCGCCACATGTCCAACTTAGGCTTCATCAAAAATTGAACGTAAAGCATGCCTTAAATAACCTAAAATTATTGTCATTTCCTTCGTGGATAATGGAACTAGATATTCAGATAAAATGATAAGAGAAAAAATAACTGTTACGCTGCTGAAATATTATTCACAGTGAAATGTTTTTTTTAATTATTTATCGCGGTAGCTTTAGAGCTGTTAGCGACCATTGTTATATTGCATTACGTTGCATTATATTATATTATATTATATTATATTATATTATATTATATTATATTATATTATATTATATTATATTATATTATATTATATTATATTACATTGCATTGCATTGCATTGCATTACATTATATTACATTGTATTGTATTATATTGTATTATGATACGTTACATCGCATGGCATTATATTACATCATATTGCATTATGTCACATTATATTACTGCAGTGATCGAACTTGTAACACTTATCACCCTCGTGTACTTAGCTAACATAACTTAGATCCATATTGAGCTTCGGCATCGCGTACATAAATGATTTCACAGAACCATCAAAGTAAACATCCTTGATTAACTTTCAATGAAAATTTCTCAATTTCCACGTAAATGTTCGATTCATTCTATATTCTTTTCTCGTTCGAATTTCGCGACGTAAATCAAGCACGAGGCCCATCGCGGCATAGCATCGTTTATGCTTATGACATTGTTTGTGTTACAATTGACTTAACACGCGACCCACAAACTGGGGAATTCACCGGCTGTTTTTGCAATAGGAAAAGTGAAGCCCCAGTGAAATCGCGCCGATCTGTCGCCACGCTGAATCACTGCCGGTTATACATGTATATGCGCTTTATAGCTTAAGTAATCGTGTAATCGTTCGATCTGCTTACGTTTTTTGCGTAACCTCGAAACAGACAACCGTGACGATTTCTATTTAATTCCTATCGCAAACATTAAAATTGTACAATAGCAGCCTGAATTCGAAATATGACGATGCAATCTTTGTCCGATTACTCTCGGCGCGAGAGCTATGACCGTTTGATTAGAGTAATTTCTTCTGATAATTACTGCGCTCAAGATCTGTGTTAACGTTTCTTGATATCAAAGGTCATTACTGGATAATTTGAGCTTCAGGTGATAATAAGTGGTAATTAAACTGCGGATCTTTGTGCGACGAAAGAAATATTTTCTGAAGCCATTGCAAACGATAGGAGTTAAAATAACAATATCTTCCTTAACACTAGATTTACGGAGCATAAAAAACATTATATTAAAAAAAGTAGTTTATAAAAGTAACAATAAGACATTTATTATGATTTTTAACAAGTGTTATTGTAACATTTTCCATAAGTAATATATAAATTGAATAAATAACACATAAATCTATCTTTACTATATGAATAATCGTAAATTTAAAAGTTAGTGACCCGTCATTTTGACGGGTTCCGTAAATCTAGTGTTAACTGAAAAATTTCATTGTTTTGTATTCCACCTAGTCACTTTCGTTGTACATACATAAAATCTACAGTCTGATAATAATGATCTAACTTTGACGCATTCACAATGTAAAAATTCAGTTTGCTTCGAAAATATCTGATCCGATTTTCCCAGACTGCATTCGTCAGAGAATACAGAAGCTATTTATTCCTGTACCGAATTACTTTAATAAGTCGAAACAGTGTTTTCGAATTCGATGAATGTTTTCACTGCTTTTTAATATTAGAGTTATTCATATTTTATGAGGAAAGCGTAAATTCACAGCATCGATTACTCTCGTGATTACTCTTTGAAAATTCATTTTCAAGGAAACCTTTATTAAATAATACAAATTTTCAAAAATCTTTTTGTGAACGCTATAAAAATAAAAAAAATCGTCCCCTTATTACTCTTTGTATCCGTATTTAGAGTTCGTGAAATAAAAATCTTTTCGATCGAGTAATGATAAAATGCTCGCAGACGCAGATGAACCCGACGCTCGTAAAATCGTGGCTGCAACGCGGTGAATTCGAGAAACTCGAGAATGTCGTTCTCGAAGGACGCGGAGCTCGCCTGTTAGGTGAACAGTCGCCGGACCTCAGAACTCGTGTCTTCCTTAAAGGACTCCCAAATTACTTGGTTAGTACAGAATCACATACGATGGTATTCATTGATCCCCAGCGAAATCGTATTACATCTTGCAATTTAATTCTCTGCGTTATTCAGACGAAAATCTCTCAAGTGCACGAGGCAGTTGCCCGAGGTTCCCTAGCAGAGACGCAAAGACTCATCGCGGAGGAGCCTAAAAAGAAGTTGGCGATCGCGAAGGATCCAGCTGGGAGGCCATTGCTCCACAAAGCTGTCTACCACGATCAACAGGACATCGTCGAGTGGCTCGTGCAGAATTATCCTATCACTGTGCAGCAGAGAGACAGGGTAAGTTTTTATACATTAATTTACCGAGACGAATCATCAAAATGTTCCAGTGACGATCTAACTTTAACACAGTTGCAATTAATTGCGAGGATCGCGAATAAATTAAAATTGTCCATTAATTTGCACATTTTGTGTGTACATTTATGTTCCTATTTTTTAAGCGTAGGTACATTCTATTATCCAAAGCGAAAAGCTTCGTTTGCACAAAAAATGCTAAACATTTAACGACAAAACAAAAATAGTAAAAAAATCATTAATCAATATCGATCATTTATCAATCTCGATTGCATATAATTCCCTTCATATAATTTAAGTGAAGGTGCATCCAACAGTCCAAATCAAAAGCTGCACTTAACACTAGAACTACGAAACCAGTCCAAATGGCTGGTCTCTGACATTTTTCTTTCACAATTCCTGATATTGTAAAAATGTTAATTTGGGAAATTTTTCGGTAAACTTTCTTATTCAAGCATACATTAAAATTGAAATCGTACGAAGTTCGAGTAAATCAAATATCCTTATCGTTAAAAAACGATATACAGTAAATTGTCCATTTTTGGACAATTTAGGAAGACGAGCTACGATTATCCGAGCCTTGCTCGGCTCGTTTTTACAGTTGTCGACAATCGATAACTATACAATTGTACACAAATTGTATAGAATCGTATCTTCTCTTCCCGAATTGTCCCTTTTCGTTTCCAAGCTGAGCGTCAATTTGGAAGAATTTACTGCTTCTACCGTTGAGAAATTTATTCAATTATTGTCCACGAAAGTGTCTCCGCGATGTCAGCAATTTTTAAATTAAGAAATGCGAAGCCGATCATTTTGGCCGCTCCCGTAGGATTAGCGTTAACGTGTAGATCGGAGGACTGATTAAAAAGTAGTGTGTAACAGTTTCGGGTCAGACAGATCCGATCGAAAGCGGCAGCGAAGTTAAACGTACCGCGTCCCCATTTAACTCCACGCGAAGTGCTCGCCCCGTCGCGCGTGACACAATTAACCTGAAAAAATGGGGAAAGAAGGGAAAGAGAAAACACAATGGAACGAACGAAGACGTAGGAGCAAACGGATCGCGATCAGTTAACAGAGTTTCGCCTACTTTCGCCGCGCGGATCGACCGATCCTGTGTCTGGGGATATCGTGACGATGGCGTTTGCGCTTCTCGCGAGATACCTCGTTCCTGAATAATCGAAAAGCCATTTTTCCTTCGCCACGACGACGAGGACGACGGTCGCCCTGCCCGCATCGCGTGACCCGGCTAATAACAAAGTGTAAACCACCTGTTCTTCCCTGCAGTCATCCGAGTTCGTGCCCGGGCGCACGCAGGCAGCGCCTCGGATACGTTAAAGGGTGCTTCTCACCCCTTTGTTCCCCACCCACGATCCCGATCCGGCTTCTATACATTCGCCATTCAACTGTCGTCGATACCGTTCACTCGGCTGTTCCCTCCAAACACATATTCTACACCGGCGACGTAATTTTTACCATCCCCATGAACCCAGCAGCGGCGGCTTGGTAGCAACACGATTTCTTGTCGCGGCAAGTAGTCATTGCTTTTTTTACATAAACTCTCCTCTCGCATGGTTTCGATGTGACACTGCTAGAACTGCGATAGTAATACTGTAACGTTATATTTTACCACGGTTTTGTCTTCATAACGCTGTCTTCAAACAGCGTATAAAATAATCTCGGATCGCCATCATACGTGTAACCAGGAACACGGTACCGTAATTTGCACTGTATGTAGGTTGCGTTATTATAATTAAATATAATCGACGAATTAACCGCGTTGTGGAAGCGTCGACTGCGTTTGGATCTTTTTTACTTTCAACAATTCAACGATTTTACGACGTTCGAATCGTGGGAAATTGCTTGGTACGGCTTGTTGTTGTTAGACTGCACATTTTTAGGCAAAATAGGCAAATACAGCAACTGTCATAAATATTTATTTCCTTTTCAATTTTTTTCCTCAAATCATCGTTTAATTCTTTGAACATTTCTGCCGTCTCGCGTTGAATTTTTGACATAAATGTTATTTCGTTATCATCGTTTCGTGTTAATGAACCCAAATCTTCACGTTAACGGCCTAACTTAGTGTACGACGCTTTGATTCTTGATGAATCTTTAAATTTGTTCGCAATGAAACATCGTACATTGATAATAATTTCTGTGTTTTGCAACAACTGTATGTTCTTGCTGCAACTACGATGCTATTATTGTTTCGAGTCAGTGTATACAATATTACGAGTTTATTTAAACACAATTAACGTGTACATATAAAATAGTATGCCAGTGATGTTTTTATATCACAAAATTCGCATGCCAGATTTTTATAAAATTACTATTTCGAAACTGCTAAAAGCTTGCGCTAAGTAAACGCAAAAAAATGTTTATCTGATAGGATAATCCGCAGAAATAGAAACGAAATTGTTCTAATTAGAGAAATGGTTTAAGAAACTTTTTGTAATGACTTAATGCTTTAACCATCACCGAATCAAATTTTAGTGGTGCAGAATAAATTCTTTCATTTTCTCTCTCATACTTCGAGTGAAATTTTGACGTAACAGTCTGCAATAAATTATTAAATTTTGTCCATCGCGTCTTCAGGAAGGGAGAACAGCGTTACATTACTGTGCAGCTTGCAAGGATCCGGACGCGATTTGGGATGTCCTCATAGAAGGTGGTTGCGACGCAAGTATCTGCGACAAAAAGGGCAATCCGGCGGCTTACTATCTGGAAAACAGCTCGGAGATCGAACTACCGGAAACGGAGAGCATGCACCGGCGAAAAGCCAGCAGTGCGAAAGAGCGTGAGTGATTTTCGCTTATCATTGTGCATGAATTAAACAATTTTACTTCATAAACAGAATTTACATGCGTTTATTGCATCGCAAGAATTATTGACTTTCGTCCGTGACGGTAATGTCTGAAACGTGCTAAATCAGATATCAATAATTTATCATTTTTTATTTTGTGTCCAGGTAATATGAGAATTTTTATATTAATTGGAGAATATAGTTTATCCGCAGAGACATTTAATACTAACTTTTAAATGAGAATTTTATATTTAATATAATTATGATAATCTCAGATTTAGAATTGCTTTATTGAGCATTGAGATTTCGCTAGGAGATAAGGACTGTGCCTAATCAGACAACGAGAGTCAGTGACTTTTCTAGCATATCAGTAGCTAATCACTGTGAAAGATCGTTTTGATACATAAAATTATCACCAGAAAT